ACATCTCTCGGTTTGTTCTTTAATAAAAGAATGTTTGGCTTTTTCTTTTAATTTATTCAATGCTTTTAAATTTCCCCAAAATTTATGCACACTCAACACCTCCTCTATGAAAAAAATTTACTGGGGCACGATTTCATGAGTAAGACACACAGTTTGGTATTTGTATTTTCCCTTAGCATGAATTTTATTACGGGGAACCCTACCATACTTTAATGGCCCCCTGCAGTCTTAAAAAGGGTGACACCACATTTCTTTACCATCCCCTTTTACAAGGAGGATAATAGTACTACCTATCAAAATATTTTTGTGCTAAGAATCATATTACCCGAAGGTGCTAAATTACATTATGTGAAAATCTTTTTGTAGCTTTACTAAGCCCTATGTAGTATTTTTTTCTGGAAATCTATCTACAATTATGCATTTCAGTTTTTTTCTCATTGCCCCCAAACCGCGTTAAATAAACAGTGCATACAATTTAGCCCTTTTATCCGAGAGAAAAACCCGAAAAATTGTGGGTCTCCCATCTGTACTTTTGCCCTCAAGGACATTTCGTTTTAGAAAGTACGTGGGATCCCTGGTCCAATAATCTTTAAAATTTTTTATTTATGCCTTTTTTTTAAAAGTTTCCTGTAAAACGGTAGGCTATTCAGAAAACCTTTTTTACATTAGCAGCAATTTTTTCATTAGCCCCTGTTGTGTCAGGATTTTCAACATTTCATTATTATCAAAAATTTCATATAGACCTTTAAAGGATACTGGTGTCTTCCTTTTTGCATTTATAAAAAGAATTTAATTTGGCATAACAAACCTTTACATTGTGATTTCCCAAACATTGCTCTTGGGTAAGCCTCAATTTCAACTCAAAATTAGGAAATGATTAATTGCAAATTCTTAGATAAATTGGTTACCCTTCAGAAAATTGTTGATATGTTCTTTTAACTAGAGTACTCTGTAGGAGGGTACTTATTTTTAACTGTGGGGTATTATTCTGTTTTCTACATTGAATCACTATGCAACTTTTTAGGAAATGAAAATTTTGATTATTATATTGGAAATTAACCTTTGCGAACTTGACAGACCCTAGAGTTATTACTGCGTGATTAAATAGTTTATGAGCAGGTTGCAATGTGCACAATTAATTTTGTAGGCCAGGCTTAGTCTTAGTTCCCCAGACCAATACTTGGGTGATAAGTTCGAGATGACATCAAATGTAAACTTATTTATTCTGTATGGCACTCAATAACATCTTGATTGCTTAGATTGTATTTATTATACAGATTTGAGACGTATATCCTATGTGACTCGTCAAATCTTAAATTGAAAATAAGATACTGGAGATTCTAAGCAATTAATAATGATATTCACTAGATCCAACCTACTTTGTTCTATATTACCATAAGTGACCTTCAACAAGTCAATTGCTTCCTTGTAAGAGTCATCTACATTGGGAAAGGCTTGTATGAGTATGTGAGCATTCTCCTCTTACCTGTCCTTTGAGGTAAAATAATTTAGTTACACAGGCTGGGGTCACTCATGTCAAGCACAGCTACTTTAAAAAATTGACCAAAACTCCTCCCAATTTTTCTCCAGGATTAAAAAACAGGTAAACATAATTCTGGGAGTTTTGGCAAAAAACTATTATTTGTTGGGAGCAGACTGATTAACTGCCTGGTTTACACATTTTAATTTTTAAAAGGCCTGACTTTTACAAGAAAAAATCTTTTTCTCTAATTCATAATACTGATCTACTTCAGTCCCCATCTACACAGTTTACTAACAAATCCCCTTTCATATTTGTTGTTAATATAACTTGTTTTGAATCATATCTATTACCTAAAGCATCTAAATACAATTTTAAATCATCAGTTTTCCCACAGTTTTCTTGATTCATTAATTTCCCAAAGCACTTATTATATGCCTTGGTTACTTTGAACTTTCCTAGCCTGTGTGATGCTTTCTTTACTTTATATTCCATATGCTTGTCTTCTACATCAATTTCCTCATTTTCAGCCATGATGCAATGTATTAAATTCAACCCAATCAATAACACTGACACAACCTACCTTTGAATAAATCCCAGCTACTTGAGCTCAGCAATTACATGTAAAAAATTGTAATATAAATTTTAAATGTACATTAATACAAACTTGGCTCTTTCAAAATTTAATATTATAAAAATTTAAATTAAATCCTTGCCAGAATTTGGCATAGCAAATTTATTATACACAATATAATCTTTAGACACACTTTTCTTATCAATTACACATCACTGATATAAATCTTGGCCAGAATTGTCTTATCAAATTAATATTATACAATTAATATAAACTTAGCCAGACTTGACTTATCAAAATTAATATTGTAATAATTATAATCCACTACACATTAAGTAAATTTGTGAACTTTAACATCCACCTCTTATGTCATTTCACATTAATTATTAAGAATTTAAACCCAAATTTAAATGACTTCACTATTAACTCCGGTTCAAGAAGGACCAACGGGCAAATTAAATTTGGAAAATTGCATTTATCTGAATGTAACTAATTATGTACATAACAATAAATGATAACAAAGATTATTATTTATCAATGTTACATAGACAAGTAGGAATTTGGGACACCTAGGTCGCAAAAATGTCCCCCTTTGATACCTACCTTTTCATATCCACAAGTTGCTCTGGACCTATTAATTAAATGAAATATACATACACCAGGAATACTGGTAAATATATAAATTTGTGGACTGTACATTAAAAATAATAAATTGTTATATATATACACAATTACATAACAGAAGGAAAATATATCTTAATATCACTCACCAATTTGACTGGAGATTAATGTGTATCATACTCAGAAAACCTCACTCTAACTAAATCTATGAAAATAATGCTGGTCAGAATTACACACAAATCTAGAGAGCTTATCTGAGGTTCCTGGAGCTGTCTTGTCCAGTCGTCTGATATCTCAAGTTATGCAGGAATGCACATCCACCAATTTCGCCTCCTATTTGAGAGGTGTCAACACAATTTTAACCTCTAGAGCACGAAAAATTCTTCCCATTTCACCAAAGTTGTATCCAATTCAAAACCAAGATGGCGAGTCTCCTGCCCAGACGCAGGCTTTCCGTTTTCTATGACATAAATATTATTAAATGCAGTATGGCCATCTATTTACATATAAATACTGAATTTCTGGAAAATATATACAGTATTTTCCACAGGTGGAGTGTGTTTGCTGTAGTGGGAATTTGTTATCATTCTGACTGCAGCCTTTTGTTGGGTAATTAGTGGTCTCAGATGGTTTATTGTTGTCGAGCCCCATGCACAAATTCCATAGGTGAGATAGGGGTACATAAGTGAGTGATATAGGGCCAGGAGGGCTGACTGTGGAACATAGTACCGTATCTTCGATAGTATGCCTACGGTCTTGGAAATTTTCTTGGAAATTTGCTGTATATGTGTTTGAAATCTGAGTCTATTATCAAGGTGGATTCCTAAGAATTTTCCCTCTGTGAGTTTTGTGATAGGTAATCCATTTATCATTATGTTAACAGGGACGTCTGTAGCTCTATTACCAAACTGAATGAAGTAGGTTTTGTCAATGTTTAGAGTAAGTTTGTTAGTCCTCATCCAGGTAGATATTTTCTGTAATTCGGTATTTACAGTATTGGCTAGCATGACTGAGCTCGGATGAGAGAAGACGTATGTAGTGTCATCTGCAATAATGTAAGGAGCAGCATATAAGCTAGGTATAACTGCAGAGATTTACAGCAAAGTGGATATCTGTACACAGTAAACAAGGAACAGTATCTAAACTAGTTACAAATAGGCAGTTGTGTAAAGAAAAATATGAATAACTGGGTATAAAATTAAAGATAACTTTTTATAAACTTGTTATACAAGAGGAAGTGATATTTAAAAAAGGCAAAAAACTGAATAAGTGGTTAAGATATGCAGGAAACAGTAACACAAGTTACAAGGGTTGATATATGCAGACTACATATCAAATAGCGGGTAGTTTATACACACACACACAAAAAAAAACTCGAGTTGTGTAAAGAAAACAAAGAAATATTAGGAATTGGGGAAACATTTAAGGAAATGGATTGCAGTGGATTTAAAACAAATAAAAACATTACTAGTATATGACCGTGATAGTAGTGTCTGTCGAATGATTAGCAAACGGCGGAGTAAGCCTTCACCCTTCTTGTGTGTAATAATTCACAGGGGTTTAGCGCATCACGTGAATATTATTACTATTATTATACAGATGTAAGTCTGATATCTATCCTGGCAAAGCAATGACATCAGTTTAAGAATAAAATTCTAGCCTAGCTTATTAATGAAGCTAGACATGGGGAAGACAGGAATCCTCGGCCAATGTCTGAATACAGTCGGAAACTTTATTTGAAATAGACTGGCCAGTTTTTTTTTTATTACAAGGGAGGGCAAAACCCGTAGGTGGGCATATAACCTCTGGAAAGTGGGAGGCATTAAGGTTCGATCCAAGGAAGGGGAGGATAACGGCAGTTCCCTGAAGAGCTTCAGGAGCATCAAGTACTCACTTGAACGGACTGGCGTAACTAGCACGTAATACCATCACAAAATAGTTGCCAGAGTTTGCAGTAAATATATATGAAAGTTTTTATGATCCATTAGCATAAAATAATAATGCATACAGTACATTAAGAAACTAAGATGATTCTAAGTGAAACTGCAACAAATTCAGCAGAGTCATGAACAATAATTTAAGATAGAATCGACTGGCCGATTATTAATTATAGCCTACAACATCGCTAACAAGCAAGAACATAATTTAACTCTTATAATAAATAAAACATTCTATCGTTGAATACAGACTAAGATGAAAGATACAACTCCTCTCGCTGTTTATATCCTAGACACAATACACTAAATATGTATAAAAATATCGTAAGTAGGTGGCAACAATTGAAGCAGCGAACGTTTGAGCTTGGATATCTTCCCGCCTGATTGTTCCAATCCTGTATATAACCTAACTAAACCTTCAGTGGAGTGCTCGTCCTCACACCCTCTGTGTTGAGCAGCGCAGTGAAATATTGTACGATAAACCCAGGAAACGTTGATCTATGGGTAGCCACCTTACAAAATTGCAAAGTGTTAACACGTGTATACAACAGTAGCAGTGTTCAATCCTCCGCTACGTGTACATCCTAGGGAAGATGCACAACGTACGAACATGCAACTTGTGGATGGAGTGATCTTCACGGACAGCGGCTCTTCTATCTTTGCATATGATATTTCAGGTTTAAGTGAATTAGCATCGACAAGCCTCATCATGGATACCGTATTATTGAATGACCACTTCACTCACAGTACCATTATAACCTAGGATCCAGTATACATATATAAATAGCTTCTCTATGGATAGTAAGCTCATGAACCTGTCCAAGGACAACACGCATGTGACTAACCTATCAACGGATTACTCACCATATAATATATCCATGGACAGCATCCCTACGAATAGCCTGTCCACGGATAGCATGTTTTTGAATAGTATATTCATGGATAGCAGACCTATGAACAGTACGACCATGATTAGCTTCTCTACGGATATCCTATCTATGGATATATTATCCAAGGGTAACCCATTTACACATAGTTTAAACACAGACGAACTATTTGCATATCCATCACGCACAGATTGTGAAACATTGGAATCCAATCTTACCACAATAGACTCCCTCGTACTTGGCGAAGCAACCACCTTGCCTGGTGAAGATACCACCTTGCATGGCGAAGATACTACCGTGCCTGGCGAAGAAGCCCCCGTGCCTGGCGAAGAGGCCGCCGTGCCTGGCAAGGAAACCACAATACCTGGCGAAGAAACCGCCATATCTGGCGAAGAAACAATTATACCTGGCGGAGATACCATCGTGCCTGCCAAAGAGGCCACTATGCTTGGCGAAAAAAACAGCAGCAGCAAGTTACTGGAGGAACAGCGCCAAGCGGAAGCAGTAGAGGGAGCCGTCATCGCGCCCTTGGAGAAGCAGCTTGCCTCACAGCTGCTAGAGCAACACCAGTGGATAGAGATTGACCTCCCATCATTAGAGGTTTGTTTAGTCAAATTTATCTCGTGTTAACGAACGTAGAATCGAGCCTCCACTATATGCTATTAAGCAATACTGTCTCTACTGCATACCTACCTACCTGGAGGGCGTTCTGGGAGTCAATTCCCCCGAGGCCCAGTCCTTGACCGGGCAACCCTCATGGATCAGGGCCTGATCCACGAGTCCAACGTATGTAGTCCAACGTACGAACCACAGCCCAGCTGATCGGGTACTGCTTTTAGGTATCTATCCAGCTCCCTCTTGAAGGCGGGCAGGGGTCTATTAGTAATTCCCCTTATGCATAGTGGGGGGGCCGTTTTAACAGTGTGGCTTTGTACGTTGGGGTTTTTGTGCAAACCAGCAGTTTAAAAAGCCTGGTTTTTTCCAGGGGTCTGATCCACCAGGAGGCCTGGTAAAGCCGGGCCGCGGGGGGTTGACCCCCGGAACTTTCCAGGGGAAATCCAAGGTACTCATGGCGGCCCCCGTTTTTTATTGGGGGTATGTTGTTTCCGTTTTTGCCTAGTCCTTTGTTTAGTAGGGAGTGGTTTTTTTGTACAGATTTGGGCCGTCTCTAGGTTTTTTTTCTGGGGCCCATAATTTTGGGTGTATTTCCCCTGCCTGTGCTTCAGGGGTAAAAGGTTTAAAAATGCTCCCAAAAATTCCCAGTAATTTGGTGCTTGACTGAAAATTTTATGCCAAAAGTAAAGGTTTTTCTTTTCATTTTCTTTGATCTGGAATTTACCTGCCTTGGAATTGGGGGGCTGGCCCCCGTGTTCAGCAATATTTCAACCCTTTGAAAAGAACAAAAGGTTTTTTAAAAGGATCAACATTGGCATGGCTTTCCCCTTTTTTTGGTGTTTTTCTTTTTTCCATCCTTCATTTTTCCCCGAAAATTTTTGATGGTTTACAATGTTTGTGATCCTTGGGAAAGGGGGTCCTGACCCTTATAATTTTAAGGTCCTTCACCTTTCTTTTTCACCTTATTGTATGGTTTTTTGAGTTTTTGTAGGATCTTTTTTCTGGCTTTTATTTCCTCCGTTTTCCATTTAAAGGAGTAGTTGAAAATTTTTTCCTCACGGGGCTTTTATATTGTTTTCCCGTTTTTCCCAAATTTGGAAAACCCTTTGGGTTTTTATCCCCTTGGAGAAATTTTCCCCTGGGGTTTTTCCTCAGTGGATCACATGCGATTCTTGTTCATCTTTTGGGAAAAAAAAAAAAAAAAATAGAAAAAGAGAAAGCGGTGCTATGGTTTGCATCTTTTTTTAAAAGGGTGAATTTATGAGGAAAGGATGGAGGCCGTACTGTGTTTTGGGTTTAAAAAAAAGCTTTTTTTACGGGCCATCTCCGACTTCTTTGTTTTACCTTTTTCTTTGTGCTCGATTGGGTTTGGGAAAATTGAAGATTTCCCTTTTGCCAAATTTTTTTAAAATTGTCCTTTGAAACATTTTGGGGGCTATTACCCATAATAAAACTTTGGTTTTGAAGGGTTGTGGATTTCTACTCTGAAATTTGTTTTTCCCGTGCGTCCAAAAACCAATCTTTTTGGGTTTCAGTAGTTGTTTTAGGGCAGGGGAGGGGACCTAAATTTTTTTTCCATTTTGCCCTGGAAAATTTTGCAAATTTTTTGGGGGATTTTTAAGTGGTCGGCGGATCTTGTTCTTGGAACTCTTTCCCAAGTTTTTTTTGATGTGGGGACCCTTAGAACTGTTGGTCTATAATTCTTTGCCCATTGTTTTCTACCTCCTTTAGGGGGGTGGGGGTAGTAATATCCATTGTTTTAGAACTGTGGGGTGTACACCCCAGGCTCCCCCTTTCCAAACCCTACTTCAGGGAGCGAAAGAGGTTTTTTTGCCCGTTCTTTTTTGAAGAATGATTTCCCCGAGTCTGGGTTGGGGCTGAGTGGGAAAGGGCTTTTTGTCAAATGGCTTTTCCCAAGGTTTGTGGAGTTTAGGGTTTTTTTCAGAAATTTTGCCCTAATTGGACAGGGTTTTTTGGGGTATTTTAAAGGAACAATTCATTTAGACTGTCGATCTTTAGACTAATTAATGGCTCGCTAAACACAAGAGTCATACTGAGACTTCAGGATCTCACTCATTTCTTTGTTGTCATCTGTATACATCCCATCTTGTCTGGAGCCCGATACTAGTAAGATGTGCTTTTTGTCTTTGTTTTTGGCATATGAAAAAAATTAATTTCTATTTTATTAATTGCTTTTAGCTTCTCCTGTCTCTCTTGGATCCTGTATAAACAATTTAACTTAAGTTCAGTACTTTTCACTTCCCTAGTCAGTGTTTCCTTCCGTATTTCAGTATGATTATAATCACTGTGCCACAGTGTTGCAGAGCTACACAAATCGTATAGGTTTACCTACGCAAATGTTGTAGGTCAAATATCGAGAGTAAGTTTTTCCTTGTGTGAGTCGGCTACTAGTAGACAGCCTCCACACCTGCACTTCACCTTGCTTCTTATAGCTAGGAAGCGGCACTCTCATGCATTTTTACCCCTTAATACCGCTTATTATACAGTCTTAATACCTCTTTATTATACACTATCTTAATACCTTTTATTATACACTGTCTTAATAGGTTTTATTATACACTGTCTTAATAGGTTTTATTATACACTGTCTTAATACCTCTTATTATACACTGTCTTAATACCTCTTAATATTTACTATCTTGATACACATTTTTATACACTGTCTTAATACGTCTTATCATACACTCTCTTAATACACATTATTATGCAGCTTAATACTGGCTATTACACACTGTCTTAATGTCTATTGCTATACACTGTCTTAATGTCTATTGTTATACACTGTCTTAATGTCTATTATTAGAATATACTCTTAATACTTGTTATTTTATATTGCCACATATAAACTAAATAATGTAGATCTTAATATTACGGATTGCGAAAAAGATTTAGGAGTTCTGGTTAGCAGTAATCTGAAACCAAGACAACAGTGCATAAGTGTTCGCAATAAAGCTAATAGAATCCTTGGCTTCATATCAAGAAGCATAAATAATAGGAGTCCTCAGGTTGTTCTTCAACTCTATACATCCTTGGTTAGGCCTCATTTAGATTATGCTGCACAGTTTTGGTCACCGTATTACAGAATGGATATAAATTCTCTGGAAAATGTACAAAGGAGGATGACAAAGATGATCCCTGTATCAGAAACCTTCCCTATGAGGATAGACTAAGGGCCCTGAAACTGCACTCTCTTGGAAAGACGTAGAATTAGGGGGATATGATTGAGGTGTATAAGTGGAAGACAGGAATAAATAAAGGGGATGTAAATAGTGTGCTGAAAATATCTAGCCTAGACAGGACTCGCAGCAATGGTTTTAAGTTGGAAAAATTCAGATTCAGGAAGGATATAGGAAAGTACTGTTTGGTATTAGAGTTGTGGATGAGTGGAACAAACTCCCAAGTACCGTTATAGAGGCCAGAACGTTGTGTAGCTTTAAAAATAGGTTGGATAAATACATGAGTAGATGTGGGTGGGTGTGAGTTAGACCTGATAGCTTGTGCTAACAGGTCGGTTGCCGTGTTCCTCCCTTAAGTCAATGTGACCTGACCTGTTAGGTTGGGTGCTTTGGCTTAAGCCGGTAGGAGACTTGGACCTGCCTCGCATGGGCCAGTAGGCCTTCTGCAGTGTTCCTTCGTTCTTATGTTCTTATGTTCTTATTAATACCTGTTAGCAGAGACTAATACCTGTGAGCAGAGACTATATTAATACCTATTAGTAGAGACTACATTAACACCTCTTAATAAATACCTTGGGTTAATACCCGCTATTAAATACTCTCTTCATACCTGGTATTAAAAACTACACATATTAATATGCTTTAATAAATGTTATAACTCTTATTAACTTTATTTTACCAATGTTGGTGAAAAGGATGTTTACGATGCATGTTTTATTACTTAAGGTACATGTTTTATTACTTAAGGCACATGTTTTATTACTTAAGGCACATGTTTTATTACTTAAGGCACATGTTTTATTACTTAAGGCACATGTTTTATTACTTAAGGCACATGTTTTATTACTTAAGGCACATGTTTTATTACTTAAGGCACATGTTTTATTACTTAAGGTACATGTTTTATTACTTAAGGCACATGTTTTATTGCTTAAGGCACATGTTTTATTACTTAAGGCACATGTTTTATTACTTAAGGCACATGTTTTTATTACTTAAGGCACATTGTTTTATTACTTAAGGCACATGTTTTATTGCTTAAGGCACATGTTTTATTACTTAAGGCACATGTTTTATTACTTAAGGTACATGTTTTATTACTTAAGGCACATGTTTTATTACTTAAGGTACATGTTTTATTACTTAAGGCATATGTTTTATTACTTAAGGCACATGTTTTATTACTTAAGGCACATGTTTTATTACTTAAGGCACATGTTTTATTACTTAAGGCACATGTTTTTATTACTTAAGGCACATGTTTTATTACTTAAGGTACATGTTTATTACTTAAGGCACATGTTTTTATTACTTAAGGCATATGTTTTATTACTTAAGGCACATGTTTTATTACTTAAGGCACATGTTTTTTATTACTTAAGGCACATGTTTTATTACTTAAGGCACATGTTTTATTACTTAAGGCACATGTTTTATTACTTAAGGCACATGTTTTATTACTTAAGGCACATGTTTTATTACTTAAGGTACATGTTTTATTACTTAAGGCACATGTTTTATTACTTAAGGTATATGTTTTATTACTTAAGGCACATGTTTTATTACTTAAGGCACATGTTTTATTACTTAAGGCATATGTTTTATTACTTAAGGCACATGTTTTATTACTTAAGGACATGTTTTATTACTTATGGCATATGTTTTATTACTTAAGGCACATGTTTTATTACTTAAGTCACATGTTTTATTACTTAAGGACATGTTTTATTACTTAAGGCACATTTTTTATTACTTAAGGCACATGTTTTATTACTTAAATCACATGTTTTATTACTTAAGGCACATGTTTTATTACTTAAGGCACATGTTTTATTACTTAAGGACTTGTTTTATTACTTAAGGCACATGTTTTATTACTTAAGGACTTGTTTTATTACTTAAGGACATGTTTTATTACTTAAGGACATGTTTTATTACTTAAGGACATGTTTTACAACTTAAGGACATGTTTTACTACTTAAGGACACGTTTTACAACTTAAGGACATGTTTTACTACTTAAGGACATGTTTTACAACTTAAGGACATGTTTTACAACTTAAGGACATGTTTTACAACTTAAGGACATGTTTTACAACTTAAGGACATGTTTTACAACTTAAGGATATGTTTTATTACTTAAGGACATGTTTTACAACTTAAGGACATGTTTTACAACTTAAGGATATGTTTTATTACTTAAGGACATGTTTTATTACTTTAGGCACATGTTTTATTAAGGACTTGTTTTATTACTTAAGGCACATGTTTTATTACTTAAGGACTTGTTTTATTACTTAAGGACTTGTTTTATTACTTAAGGACATGTTTTACTACTAAGGACATGTTTTATTACTTAAGAACATGTTTTATTACTTAAGGACTTGTTTTATTACTTTAGGCACGTTTTACTACTTAAGGCACATGTTTTATTACTTAAGGCACGTTTTACTACTTAAGGACATGTTTTATTACTTAAGGACATGTTTTACTACTTAAGGACATATTTTACTACTTAAGGACATGTTTTACTATTTAAGGACATGTTTTACTACTTAAGGCACATGTTTTATTACTTAAGGCACGTTTTACTACTTAAGGACATGTTTTACTACTTAAGGACATGTTTTACTACTTAAGGACATGTTTTACTACTTAAGGACATGTTTTACTACTTAAGGACATGTTTTACTACACTTAGGACATGTTTTACTACTTAAGGACATGTTTTACTACTTAAGGACATGTTTTACTACTATTAAGGACATGTTTTACTACTTAAGGACATATTTTACTACTTAAGGACATATTTTACTACTTAAGGACATGTTTTATTACTTAAGGACATGTTTTACTATTTAAGGACATGTTTTACTACTTAAGGCACATGTTTTATTACTTAAGGACATGGTTTTTTTTAAGGATTTATTATTTTATTAGTTAAGAGAATATTCACAAGGTTTAATTAAATTATGTATAAGTTATAATTAAAAGGTACATTCAATTCTGTCTTAAAACTTCGCTCATATTTTTCATACTAAAATTAGGCTGCTCTTAAGACTATATTTTTTTTTTCAGGAGCATGCAGTATTTTTTAAATATACTTTTTCCAGTAGGAACTTTTGTTTTTGGTCTTAGAATAGTTTTCTAATAGTCATAGTACTCGAGAAAGTATTTCATATGAAAAATAATTCTATAGACTTACGTAGGTTCGATTAAGTATAGAATCTTCCAGGGAATACGCTAGGATAGCGTAGCTTAGGTAGTTAGGATAGGTTAAGCTAGCTTAGGATGGCTTAAGCTAGATTAAACTAGCTTATGTTTAAATTTCTTATCCCTTACATTCCTTTAGCCGCTTTCTCTTTCTGCCTATTTCTTTTCTTTGTCACCCTTTCTATTTCCCTCTCTCCCAGCCTCCTTATGTTTCTTAAGGAATGATATCTGTTAACTCTTCTCTATGGACCCTATAGGGGTATTGACTCTACTGTAACATTTTTATATTTTTATATTATCACTATAACTATCATTATTACCGTTGTGTACTATGCAGGACTTGGACACCATCATCAGCAGCTACCTGAGTGAGGAGGGTACTACGCAGCTTCAGCCTGACATCGTTACCTTCCTGGAGGAACCTCCTGTAGAAGGCCATGTCCTTCCCAGTAGTATACACTCATCTAACTTTAGTCAGGACAGCGTCAGGTTCTGTAGACAGCAACGAGGACCTCCCGAAGGCAGAAAGGACTGCGCTAGATCACGTAGACAACGTCGGCGAACTGTTAAAAGCAATCAGAACGATGTTCGGTCATGTAGACACAGCTGGCAGGTGAGTGAGGGGAGGCAGAACAACGTCAAGTCCTGTAGACAACGACGACGTACTCTTGAAGGCAGTGAAGGTGCAGTTACTTCCAGCAATAAACCACGACGGGGAACTCTTACTCTAGAGAACAGCTTGACGAAGGACGAGAAGAGAAAGAGAGCACGAGAACTGAACAACGCTGCCTCACGCTTGTACCGTCAGCGTGTCAAACACCTTCGAGAGCATGTGCAAGAGGAACTTAAATTTTTAGAAGAAAAAAATAAAGAGCTCAAAGGCAAAGTTGAAAATCTCAATAGAGTAAAGAAGATTTTCAAAACATTTATTAAAGAAAAAGCACAGTTGGGAAACCTCAGCCCTGCAGCCAATATTTTCCCTATCTTAAAATAAGGAATAAGTTGTACTTCTCAGAACAGATTAACATGTTTTGCTTTCTTGCGTATTTAATTGTGAACGCATACGAATATTTCTGTGCATTATAAAGAAAATAAACAATGGAAATAATCACACTGACTTGAGTGGGTTATCCTCGGTTAAAGCTATACTGTATAATGTACCGCTGTTTTATGCCTAATACATTTATATGTCCTCAAAGTTCCCCCTCCAGGAAGGTTCCCTGATGCTGTTTAGGGGCTCTTGATTTAAGGAATTGAACCTGTGCTCCAATCCCTTGAATCGACCCTGAATGTCTTCCATTCTCCCAGGAGCAGTATAACCCCTACGGGTTTGGCGCTTCCCCCATGAATGTAATAATACACTCAGCTAGTGTACAGATTTGTACTACTGTTTGTAAAATATTTATATTTTCTCTTAAATGAAAGTTATCTTAAGAACAAGAGAGTATGCAGTAATCTCAACGTACACACAACTCTGCTCACTCTACCGTCCATCTCTGCAGCTACTTTAAGTTTCACTTCGGTCATATTATTTGGCAGATTGTTCTTTTATCCACAACTTTAGTAGTAACTCACAATGCCAACTTTAGTGTTAAACCAGCGTTTCTTTATATCATTTCTAAATTGATATCATTTTTAAATTTATAATTTCTGAATTTATATCATTTCTAAATTTATACAACTCGAAAACATTGTTTAATATTCATATTTCGGTTACTTACACCTCTGTTCTTTGTATACACTTCAGTTATATATTCCTCGTACATGCTGTTCCAGAGTGTCAAGCTCCAGAGCTCTCTATTTTTATTAATAAGAAATAATTCCTGAAACAGGGATTATTAACTCTGTCATCCCTTCTTATTTTCTAACACATTTATGTCCCCCTGTAAAAATATAATACGGGCTGCATAGTTTAAATTAAGTTTTACCAACAATGCTTGAGAGTTGTAGCATAATTTTAAGATTTTTGTTAGATAAGATATATTTAATGTTAATGCCACGCCTTAGTGCCAGCATTTATTTACAGTTTCCCTGACTTCAAATTCTTATCGCATCTTGTATGGTTAAATTCTACACTAATTAATTTATAAATGCCGAGGTTATTTATTTAAGTATAAAAATAAGCCTAATTTTTGGATCCAGACGTGCTATATAATAACTATAAATATTTAAATGAGACTCCTGCAGCTAGAATATTTTTATTAGGATATATTTCGCTCACCGGAATATAAAAAGCCCTGGGTGGGCAAAATATCTCCTCTTAAAAATTGAGTGAAACATAGCCGCAATAAATGTCTTATAAGTTACACACGTGTTCATTTAGCCTTGCAGAGTTAAAGTTTACCAAAATGCTGTCAGTATCCCATCTCTTTATAACACAAACTGACTTGTTCACCTTGTTAACAGCACTTAAGTTAAGCTGTGACTATGATTCTTTATCAACACTGAACGCACCTGACTCTTACAATGACTCAAACAACATACTCATCATAAAGGTTTGTTTTATTATTAAATATTCTGAAAGTATTAAGACTGTTTATTTCCACGGTATCAGTTATAGAACACTTCATGGAATACTTTTATGACGACACACGCCACGTATATATCACACACTAGACGCAGAGGTTGGCCAACTTTTTTGGGGGGGTATTATCCCAAAACAAATTGTGTACAGCGAAATTCCCCGCTAGACTTGAATCCGGAAAACACAAGGAGCATTCAAAATCAAAATAGTTTATTGAATCCATTTGTATGAAGAATACAGTCATACAAGACGAAAAGTGTGTATTATACGCGATAGAGCAACTTTAAAAGTAAAACAAAATTAACAAAATATGGAAAAAAATACATGAAATAAAAAATAATAGCAGACAAATTTAACAAAAATCTCATTAGGAAACTATTAAAGAATTTCATTGAAAATATTTTCTTTTCAGGTTTTAGAGAAACTTGAAGAAATTAAAAATTATTTGTTTAAAAAAAATATTACTTTCACAATTTGCCTCGCTTATTAAATAATAAATTTTTGTGCAATTTTATTTATGTTTATTGAGCCTCTATTACCCCCGAAATTTTCATTTTTACCCCATTTGGGGTAATTTACTCCGGTTCCCCGACCTAGGCACTAGAGATATATACTAAAACAACAAAATAAGACACTACACACTAGCTGTATATACTAAGATCATACAAAATAAAAGTGAATATACTTGGGATCATGGTATTAGAGATGATCTTCCTTATTATTAAGAGCACAAGCACGTATACCTGAATGCGTGACGTCATTAACAGGAACCTTAACCCGAGAAGAACCTGCGTCAATAGACACCTTCCCGCGTGGAAGAACACTTTGGGCATCTTTATACTCCACTTTTTGGTAAGGAAAAGAATAGATGAGCTTCGCCAAAATGGCTGGGGAAAATTATGTTAGTGGACTCAATCAATACACTCCCCTGACTAGAGCAAAAAAGGGTATTAATAAAACAATTTGAAAAATAAAAAAAAAACAGTAAAGAAAAATTGCACACCCGAACCCACAAATGAGTTGATTTGGAGATGAGCACAAGCCTCTAGCTATAATATGTTACCACTATATATCAGGGAAAACTTAGAAAGTTCAATGATAGATGTAATTTCGTTCAATTTATGTTAAACAAACAGCATAATGAGCGTGATATCCTACACACCGAATATGAACTAGATGCTGCCCTCACCAGGAGCGAAGCCACTGCCCCTGGGGAGGACGATATTACCTATGACATCACTAGATTACTGAGACGTGTACCTGGTAACCTACTGTTAGAACTGTACAATATGAGTTATGCTATGGGTCAGTTACCTTCCTCATGAATCAATAGTATTATTGTACCAATTCCCAAACCTAATTAACATGACTAGCTCTCTGCGTAAAACATTTGAAAGGACTATGCTTAACAGATTATTGAACAGAGTAAAACAATATATATCTCCTAATATTAATGCATTTACATACACACCAGATGTATACCAAACTGTCGCAACATTTTTAACTGTACATGGGGACGCTAGGCACAAATACACGACTCTTCCTGATATCTAAAAATGCTTTCGATGTTGCAAACAGGGAAGTTATTTTGCATGAATTAGTGAAGATGGATACAATGGTCTACTTCTACAATGAAATCTTGGTTATCTCACTAACAGGAAATCTGCTGAGTTGTTTTAGGGATAGAAAAGTGAAACTAAAGAAATACAACATGACACTCCTCAAGGCGGTGTATTAAGTCCTACACTGTTCAATATATTAATCAATGTCCTACTTAAATCTATATCGGATACCCCCAGCAATATCACAGATCGTTATGCTGACGTTATTTTTGCATATACTAAAACTTTTCGGGAAATGCAAACCACACTGAGCCATCATATGCAGGCAGCCTGTGATAATCTTGGTCTTATAATTTTTCTAAAAAAGACCAGTGTTTACAGACACAATGGTAACTGTAAAAGTGGATCAGCAAAATTATAGGTCAATAGCAGGTCTAGTACGTGACCTCTTGTAAATATCTAGGTATTACTGTGCCATGTACGCTAATTTCTGTGAAGAAAATTAACCAACACTGTAATGACGGACTTAAAGCTCTCAGAACTGTTGTAAAGTATAATAACAAGTATGGTGCAAATGTTAAAATTGTCAAAATGATGTACTTAGCGTACATAAGATCAGTGATAAGAGTAGTATACGCAGCTTTAGTCCCGCTACACAGTACAACCAATGATAAAGACAAAATCAAAACAAAACTGAAGCCCTGAGAATTATTCTGGGCTGTACTATAACTACCAAAATACTAAATATGAGGAAAGAATTGAGTGTACCAAGTGTTGCTGATAGAATAGGTAAAACCAATGTCATGATAGGACTGAAACTGCTGCCTGGTGAGTATAACAATGTTAGTCTCTAATAAATTACTAGAATATGTAATTCATGGGACAAGTGAATCAAAATATATAAAAATAACAGCCACATGAACTGTATCATGTTAGGAAACTAACAGCATTTTCCACTACCTTGGCACATAGCAACTTTTGATATCACTAAGCCCACCTGTCCTCCCAAGAAACTAATCATGCACATTTCCCATCTTCGATTACTTTCTAAAATCAGTGTTCTGTAACACATACATGACCTTAGGACAAAGAATACTATCACACAGACTACGATGATGGCTTCCTTCAACCCTGACAGAGGGAAAGCGAGAAGTGCTGTTATCACAAACCAGCCTGATGATACTACAATAAAGACATGTATTACCTGGAGTTTACCTGGAGAGAGTTCCGGGGGTCAACGCCCCCGCGGCCCGGTCTGTGACCAGGCCTCCTGGTGGATCAGAGCCTGATCAACCAGGCTGTTGCTGCTGGCTGCACGCAAACCAACGTACGAGCCACAGCCCGGCTGATCCGGAACTGACTTTAGGTGCTTGTCCAGTGCCAGCTTGAAGACTGCCAGGGGTCTGTTGGTAATCCCCCTTATGTGTGCTGGGAGGCAGTTGAACAGTCTCGGGCCCCTGACACTTATTGTATGGTCTCTTAACGTGCTAGTGACACCCCTGCTTTTCATTGGGGGATGGTGCATCGTCTGCCAAGTCTTTTGCTTTCGTAGTGAGTGATTTTCGTGTGCAAGTTCGGTACTAGTCCTTCTAGGATTTTCCAGGTGTATATAATCATGTATCTCTCCCTCCTGCGTTCCAGGGAATACAGGTTTAGGAACCTCAAGCGCTCCCAGTAATTGAGGTGTTTTATCTCCGTTATGCGCGCCGTGAAAGTTCTCTGTACATTTTCTAGGTCGACAATTTCACCTGCCTTGAAAGGTGCTGTTAGTGTGCAGCAATATTCCAGCCTAGATAGAACAAGTGACCTGAAGAGTGTCATCATGGGCTTGGCCTCCCTAGTTTTGAAGGTTCTCATTATCCATCCTGTCATTTTTCTAGCAGATGCGATTTGTACAATGTTATGGTCCTTGAAGGTGAGATCCTCCGACATGATCACTCCCAGGTCTTTGACGTTGGTGTTTCGCTCTATTTTGTGGCCAGAATTTGTTTTGTACTCTGATGAAGATTTAATTTCCTCATGTTTACCATATCTGAGTATTGAAATTTCTCATCGTTGAACTTCATATTGTTTTCTGCAGCCCACTGAAAGATTTGGTTGATGTCCGCCTGGAGCCTTGCAGTGTCTGCAATGGAAGACACTGTCATGCAGATTCGGGTGTCATCTGCAAAGGAAGACACGGTGCTGTGGCTGACATCCTTGTCTATGTCGGATATGAGGATGAGGAACAAGATGGGAGCGAGTACTGTGCCTTGTGGAACAGAGCTTTTCACCGTAGCTGCCTCGGACTTTACTCTGTTAACGACTACTCTCTGTGTTCTGTTAGTGAGGAAATTATAGATCCATCGACCGACTTTTCCTGTTATTCCTTTAGCACGCATTTTGTGCGCTATTACGCCATGGTCACACTTGTCGAAGGCTTTTGCAAAGTCTGTATATATTACATCTGCATTCTTTTTGTCTTCTAGTGCATTTAGGACCTTGTCGTAGTGATCCAATAGTTGAGACAGACAGGAGCGACCTGTTCTAAACCCATGTTGCCCTGGGTTGTGTAACTGATGGGTTTCTAGATGGGTGGTGATCTTGCTTCTTAGGACCCTTTCAAAGATTTTTATGATATGGGATGTTAGTGCTATTGGTCTGTAGTTCTTTGCTGTTGCTTTACTGCCCCCTTTGTGGAGTGGGGCTATGTCTGTTGTTTTTAGTAACTGTGGGACGACCCCCGTGTCCATGCTTCCACTTAACAAACTGAACTGCTTGTTATACTTGTTACTCTTAAGATTGTGTGAACTACGGTCGCACACAGTGTGACTTTAACTGTTACTCTCTTGTTACTGGTAGACTAAGGCTAGACTATATTTCTGACAGTGCGGTTGGTATGGAGATGTCAGTTACAAAGACAGAGACAGGGTCATATACTAAATAAAGAAAGAACTGTGTGAATAAACTACGAGTTGTGTGAATAAAGCAAGAATTGTGTATATAAAGGAAAATTATGTGATTAAAGCAAAAATTTTGTGAATAAAGCAAGAATTGTGACTCGGTTGGTAACGCACTCAGCTCACAAACTAAGTGTCCGTGGTTCGATCCCCGATACGGGTGGAAACATTGGGCGTTCCCTTACACCTGCTGTCCCTGTTCACCTAGCAGCAAGTAGGTACCTGTGTGTTAGCTAATTGGTGTGGGTAGCATTCTGGGGGACAAGTTTAACCTAAGTTGCCCGAAATGGTCTACATAACCAGAGGCTTTCTATATAGTACGTCATTGATGTCAAAACTGCATAATGTATTTGTAGAAATAAAGATTATTATTATTATTATTATTATTATTATTATTATTATTATTATTATTATTCTATATAGATTAATTTTGTCAGTGATGAAATAAACTATGCTATAAATTAATGATAAATTGAGAAATTATTATTGTTATTATTATTATTTTAAGGAGAGAAAGAGATGGAGGAAAATTGAGTACCAAAAATAGCCGAACGTCACCATCGAGACCTAAACGATCGTGTACGGTGCCCGTGAGTCACACAACACTTACACATGCATCCACGTTATCACGTATATACGGTAAATTTGGTGAAGATATACGCAAGCGTCTAGGATAACACGTCACAAATCTTGTTCACGCACGTAGGGTCACTTCCAGTTCCTGCCACCACCAGTCTTGCCGTCGAGGTTATGCAACTTGCAAATTCGTCAAGTTCATTCGTTGTTGATTATTTCTTTATATACAAATGTCAAGATGATATAGGTAAGCAAAGATTCATTTTGTAATTGGTACACCGTGTGTAATAACTCCGTGTTACGTCTGGCAGCTCTGTGAAGCAGTACTGGGTACATACGTCTGGCAGCTCTGTGAAGACCATGTCTGTCAGCGTGAGACTGTACTTTAGCAAGAAACGTTCAGGTGTAGTAATAGTGTTAACCTTTACGATAATTCATAAAACTTTTCTTATACTTAAATTAACACTCAAGATAATTTGTTATACAGAAATAAGATCAAATTTGTCATTATTCCATCACAATATTATACGACACTGCTTCCGACAGTAAACGTTTTCTAACCCAGAGCCACAACATGATGCAACAAAGGTGCAATATATATACTGTGTCCTGCCCTCGGTCAACCATTCCTCGCTCTACCGTGCAGCAGTACACTTGAGCTTACAACTATTTCCACAGCTGTTATAGATACTAGAAGATTGTATTTACTCATTGTGTGAACATGGATGATCATTCAATGTTCTCGGAATTGGCTTCATATTACGACGCGTGTGGAACTAAAGGTGTGGCCCAGGAAACATTTATTGCTAATGACCCTTATTTCGGCATTAGTTTGGCCCCAGCCATGACGGAGGAACAGTACCTTGATCCACGGTCGACGGTGATGGAACAGGCTACCTCTTATGATACCCTAGGAGGCTTGTCCCCGGACCTGGAGGAGATGATCAACGGAATACTGCCGGAAAAAGACCTTCCTGTAGGAGAAATGGATCTATCAGTTGCCAACATCAACCAGGATTTGAACGCCATGTCTCTGTGGTCAGATGACTCCCTGGTAGGTCTTGCTTTATCTTACCTGAAATTAGAGATATTATTATTATTATTATTATTATTATTATTATTAGATTCCTTTAGAAGGGACTTTAAAGTGTTTGGGAAATAGATGGTTATTAGGTTTGATCCAAGGAAGGGTTGAATAACTCTAATTCCTTGGCTGAATTCTCTTCACCAGCATAAAGACACCCTCTTGAAGGGGGTAACTAAGAGACGGGTGAGAACGAGGTAGACCAATATAAACGTTTTGAAGCGAGTGTGTTCGACACAGTAGGACTGAGTGAAAGATAGAAAACTTGGGAATGGAAGGGGCTGACTTACGAATTATAAAAATATCTATTGTAGAAGGGACCCACATTAGAAATGAGTTTTAATAATTGGCTTTGATGAATTATCGTAAGAAAGCTCCATAATGTTTCACTTATGTGCCCACAATATTCACGTATTTAATGAGACCAATATAACAGTTTAAAAAAATTGTCTTTATAAGTACCTGAAATTTTAAAATGATTTAAAGCTTAGTTTTTACTTAACCTCAGGACAGTTTGCACAAGCAGGTGCAGAGTGAACCAAATTAACTTATGAGATCAATGTTTTTTTCAACACATCGTATACCTTGTAAAAAACAGCCGTATTATATTTTACTTACAGGATCTAGATAACATGGACCCTAACGAAATGCTGAGTGGAGGTGGTGTGACCGATTTTCCTGGGGGGCTGACGCCATTAAAGCCACAAGAAGAGACCCGCATAAGAAATAAGGATAGGAAAAGTTCCAGGCGGACTCGCAACGAACCACAGGTGCCCACCTGTTCCCTGGTGCTGCCAAATATGCAGTGCCCCTACCCACCACCAGAAGAGTTGGGGGTAGCCAGCCCTGCTTATTCCCAGAGCGACAGTGCCAGCGGGGATGAGGGCTCCAAACCCCGCCAGAGACGAGCCCGGGTACAATACAACACACTGACAGAAGAAGAGAAGTACCAGCGAATCCGAGACCTCAACAACGAGGCTTCGCGGCAGTATCGAATAAGAAACCGCCAACAGTTATCTAAGCTGCAGCAACAGCTGGAGAAGCTGCAGGAGAGGAACCAGGTGCTGCAACACAAGCATACAGGTCTCGAGCAACTCAGGAACCAGATACGAGACTATACAAACGGAATACTCCGGAAACACATGTCGAGCACTCAGCCCAGTCAATACTGAGCTCTCTCCAGATAGATGACAGCTCAAGTATTAAGGAATACAAATTTATTAACTACATTTTCTCAGCGATACTCGTCTTTCTGCCTGTTCAAAGAATGTTTATACGTACCTTTAATATAATTTATATTTATACGTTTTTAATATATATTTTAGATCATTTATATGTGTTTATGCATACCTGAGGTTACCAAGAACTGAAATCAAGATTATAAACCAACAGAAAGTTATAACCATGGACCAGAAACTTAAACATTAATAATGAAACAATTATACGTGTTCGATGAAGGTAATTTCCAAGGTGCCTCTCTCTTCAAGGGAGGTTCCTTGACGCTGGTGAGGGGCTGTTGATCTAGGGAATTGGATCTGTGCCCCGGTTCCCTGAATTGTGTGGATACCTTCCATCCCCCCCACATGCGCTGTAAAATCCAACGGGTTTAGCGCTCTCCGTGATAATTATAATCCAAGGTGCCTCAAGGAAGGCAATTGAGGAGCTTTTAATCCAAGGAACTAAATTTAGCTTCTCTTTCCTTGGATCGAACCTGAATGTCTCCCATTCCCCAAGCGCTATGATTTCAGCAGGATTAGCGCTTCCTTCTGATTAAAAAAAATAATGTGGTATAAACTGAAGACATAATGAAGAGCTGGCCATAAGATATTTCCCTCCCGGTATCGCTTGGAAGTACTTCCTCACTCGAGGAAGGTGATGCAAAATAAAAATGATAACACTCATCACCAAACCTTATTAAGATAAGGTGAAGCTGTCTAAGATGGGGTGGACTGAGGTAAGGATTCATTAGCGCAGAATTTCGAGGGCACCCCTAAGAGGTGTGAAAACAAAATTTTTTATCTCGTATTTGTCTTCAAAGAATCATTCATAACAGCTAGCAGATGGAAATGTAAACGTGATGCAACATGTGGGAGTCTGAGAGGGCCGAGTGTGAGTGTGGTGCACGGTAACCCGCGCACCAGTGTTGTGGAGGCAGCCAGAGGGGTAACACACACCACTTAGCTCCTTCACACTATACCACGGGGGAGGCCCTTCTCACTCTCGCTTTCAGCACCACCTGCGAGGTTATCACCTTTAAAATTACTCAGTGTAAATTTAACTTCTGCTCAATCTGTGATGTTAAGAAACGAAACATTGACTAGAAATTTGGCAAAAATATCTTATAGTGTTGTGTTAGAAAGACCTTGCAAACGTCATAAGCATGATCTCACCTGGCGACAGTGACATTGTGAGCCAGGAATGGGAAAACCACCAGCAAGATGGAGCAGGGGTTATCCTGGGTCAGGTGGGCAGGGAGATCACACACACAGCCTTAAACAATCTTATAAATAATGTGATGCCACACACGGTCTTGGACTCCTCCGTCACATCCTCACTACAACTGGACCTGCAGATAGCCGCCTCCTGGTCACATGATCACCATCAGGTTAGTAATATTTTGCCATTTATTCAGGTTTTATTGTATAGTTTGGACCAGCGTAGCAAGGTTGAGTGTATTATCGGCACAACCTGAGAAGCCGAGAGAAACTTCAGGAAGGCAGTGTGGCGGGAAACAATCTTGCTGCAGCAAATCAGTGCGCATGTGTACGATCTCTCTCTCTCTCTCTCTCTCTCTCTCACATACTCAGGGCTCGTGAATTAAATGGTAGCGATTCGGCTTACATCTGAGGCACCCGGGTTCAATGCCAGCACTGGTGGAAACGTTAGACAGGTTTCTTTTCACCTCTTGCCCCTGTGCTCTAGTAGCAAGTACATGAGTAAATTATTCAGGTACATGTGCACATAAGAACAAATATTATATCTAGTAACATGTGTAAATTACTTAGGACCACCCCATATTTCGACTGGGGTCCTTATTTCCATTGGGTATTTGGGTGTTAGTTGACTGTTGTGGGTCGCATCCTGGGAAGAAGACCAAAGGACCCAAGTGGTCATCCTGAGCTGCTAAGCTCTCTGAGCTAATAATGGTTATCCTGAGAGTTACAAACCCTCAGGGTTAATAGTGATTATCCTGAGTTATTAACCCAGTACAAAGTACAGTCTTTAGTAAAAGAAAAGTCCAATTAATTGAAGTGAAATACGGGTTGGAGTATTCTATAATCTAAGGTGGGAATAAAATAAACTCATAAAATCCTGCGGTTTTAAAAGTATTGCTGTGTGGTAGGCCTACGAAAGTTAGCAGGGGTAAATCAGGGCAAACATAACACGAATACCTCCAGAAAGACTGCTAGTGGTGAAGCTGGGATCTGGCGACAACGATGAAGAAGCAGCGAAGAGTAACATTCTTATGAAATCAAAATTAGCTGGCAGGTGTTTTAAAATCAGAACAGTGAAGAAAAACCAGGATGAGCGAGCAATGCGAGGTTGGATGATACAGGCTGAATACACCAATAAAAGGAAGACATACATAGGTTCTAGCTGAAAGAGAGGTGGGAGGATAAGATAAAATAAGATTTTTTGTTCAGGATAACCCCCCCCCCCAAAATCAAGTGCATCATCAGGGACTGTCTTATCTACATTAGGGCCCTTTAATGTTGTTCTCTAGGATGCGACTCGCATCAGTCACTTAACACCCAGATACCTACTTAGTACTAGGTAAACAGGGACAACTGTCATGTGGATTCGATAACGTGGATAGGGTAAAAACACTCACGTATAATTATAATGGAAAGTATGGGAAGCACCATCAGCCACCCTGCCCCTCTCTGCTCTCTATTTCAGACTGACCCACCACTGCCTAGAGGGTGAGCGGTGTTCAAAAACATGCTATGGTCAGCAGCAACGTGAATAACAGTCAGTGATTCACACAGACAGTTGGTAGTGAGTCATCTACTGGCAACTGGTTACTGGTAACTGGTACTACTGAGAGCTCGGCGACGCTAACGTATGTTGTCCCGACACACAGCTAATACAAGCTAGAGACGGCAGGTGTATGGCTTGGGCTGATTCTATACAATGTCAAAGTACACAACAATTGAACATTATAACATAAGGAGAATATTGGAATGGAAGCTTACATAATTGACTATAATGAAACTTACTGTAATGAAACTGTAATGCATTACAAGGTATGATATAGCACAACTCATAGAATGAAACTCAACATTGGGATTACACAGTAGAAGTGATAAAAAAAATTTGATCAATCGATCTGTATTCATGTGATCTACGGATTCTGAGGAAGAAATATATGCAAAGAAAGAAGTGTTTAACAGAAAGGCAGATTCGGTGCACTCAAATCTAGACTGTTAACTCTCAGAATTCGGAGAGAATGTGAACACACAAAAAAAATTCTTGAATATTAATAAGTTGATACTGTAATTATTCATCTATACAGGTTATTTACATTTAATCCCAACTCTGCTAGGGTGAGATTGACATATGCAGAATGGGTGTCATCTCTGGGAGGATCAAACTCTGTTGCACTGGCTAATTCATGCTGTATTTGAGGCAAATCTGAATTGGTAGTTACAAATGATACTTGAGGATTTATCAATACCTGTCGTGTATGTAGGGAATAACGACATTCAGGTTGATCATCTGACTGAGTCTCAGAGGTATAGAGTACAGGATCAGGAGGATTGTCAGAGTCTGTCACATTAGTCTGGGTTGGAACATCATTATCATCACATACTAACTTCACATGATCTAAATGCGATTCTTTATACTGACCAGTACTCATTTCTCTAACCTTATACTTATTGCCAGTGATATGTTCAACTACTCGATAAGGACCAACAAACTTTTGATCAAGCTTAGGCATTGCAGACGTTTTGTTAAAGTTAGTCAGCATAACTCTCGAACCTACTTTGATTTTGGACGGCTTTGCTCGAGTGTTGTAAATTCTGCTGTTGATTTATGAAGTGGTTCACGGATTCTTCTAAAGATGCTTTGAGCTAAGCTGGTACGAGTTGCTATGAAATCATCAAAGTTGTAATTTGGTTTTGGATTAGAATATAGCAACTCATAAGGCAAGTGTTTATCTACACCGTACAATACATAATGTGGAGTGTCACCTATAGAAACATCGTAAGCAGAATTTATAGCACACTGCACATCAGGTATAACTTCATCCCAAGTTTCACTGTTGGGATTGACAGTGGCTCTCAAGACAACAAGTACTTTCTTATTGGTTCCTTCCGCTAACCCATTGCTAGCAGGATGATGAGGAACAATGGTGGATTGAGAGATCTTGTACAAGGTACACAAATTTTCAAGAATCTCATTACAGAATTCACCTCCATTATCTGTTACTAGGGACTTAATATGGTAAGCCTGCAGATAATGCACAGTTGGATACATTTGGATTGGATTAGGACCATTAGCATTAACTTTATGTTGCATGCAGACACTGCATTTCTTAACATACTCAGAAATATCAGTTGCCATACGAGGCCAAAAGTATTTCAATCTGGCTTGTTTTACTGAACGATCCATACCAGGGTGCGCAACACATGGTACATCGTGAACTAGCTGTAAGGCTACATTCACTAGTGACTGTGGAATTACTAACTGGTATACCCTTCTGCTGTTCGATACAGTAATTCTTGGTTCATGACAAAGTCACTGATGGGTGCTGGTGGCTTCACAGTCAGAATAAGATCTTCCTGGAGCAGGAATCGAATCACACCAGACCACATGGGATCTGTTCACTGAGCATTCTTTACATCCTCGGCAGTAAATGGAGAGTCTGCAGTTACTATACTAACATGTCCCGATAAGGCATCTGCGACTACATTTGACTTGCCAGGTAAGTGTTCAAAGGTAGGATTGAACTCTTGGATAGTCAAGGTCCATCTCGCTAACCTTCCAGTAGGTTGTTTGTTCTGGAATAAAGGTATCAGTGGAGCGTGGTCTGTCAAGACATGAACAGAGTGCTGATAAATAATGTCTCAGAAGTGCTTTGAAGACCATACTATTGCTAAAGCTTCTTGCTCAGTTACTGTATAATTACGTTCAGCCTTCGTAAGGACTCAGCTAGCAAATGCAACTGCGTTGTACTTGCCATCAGTCTTCTGAGCTAGTACGGCACCTATGCCAATAGAACTAGCATCAGTTGTCAGATAGAAGGGCTTAGAAAAATCTGGAAATTTCAAAATTGGAGCAGATGTTAGCTTTTCTTTTAGAGTTTGGAATGCTCTTTCTTGATGGAAGGTCCAAATGAAAGGAGCATCTTTCTTAAGCAACTCAGTTAGAGGAGCAGCTATGGAAGAAAAATTGGCAATGAAAGATCTATAAAAACCTGCTAAGCCCACAAAGGATCTTACGGCATCAGCAGTTTTGGGAGTTGGAAAATTTAGTACTGCAGTTACTTTACTTTGGTCAGTCGTAACCCCTCTAGGAGTGACTACGTGACCAAGAAACTTAATTTCTGATCTGAAACCCCTGGAATGCGCCCTTGATCCTAGTACCTAAGAAGGATGGTGCTTGGCACCCAGTGATTGACTTTAGGAAGTTAAATGCGAAAACTATTCCAGATCACTTCCCACTTCCCACTAAAAACAACAGACATAGCCCCACTCCACAAAGGGGGCAGTAAAGCAACAGCAAAGAGCTACAGACCAATAGCACTAACATCCCATATCATAAAAATCTTTGAAAGGGTCCTAAGAAGCAAGATCACCACCCATCTAGAAACCCATCAGTTACACAACCCAGGGCAACATGGGTTTAGAACAGGTCGCTCCTGTCTGTCTCAACTACTGGATCACTACGACAAGGTCCTAAATGCACTAGAAGACAAAAAGAATGCAGATGTAATATATACAGACTTTGCAAAAGCCTTCGACAAGTGTGACCATGGCGTAATAGCGCACAAAATGCGCGCTAAAGGAATAACAGGAAAAGTCGGTCGATGGATCTATAATTTCCTCACTAACAGAACACAGAGAGTAGTCGTCAACAGAGTAAAGTCCGAGGCAGCTACGGTGAAAAGCTCTGTTCCACAAGGCACAGTACTAGCTCCCATCTGTTCCTCATCCTCATATCCGACATAGACAAGGATGTCAGCCACAGCACCGTGTCTTCCTTTGCAGATGACACCCGAATCTGCATGACAGTGTCTTCCATTGCAGACACTGCAAGGCTCCAGGCGGACATCAACCAAATCTTTCAGTGGGCTGCAGAAAACAATATGAAGTTCAACGATGAGAAATTTCAATTACTCAGATATGGTAAACATGAGGAAATTAAATCTTCATCAGAGTACAAAACAAATTCTGGCCACGAAATAGAGCGAAACACCAACGTCAAAGACCTGGGAGTGATTATGTCGGAGGATCTCACCTTCAAGGACCATAACATTGTATCAATCGCATCTGCTAGAAAAATGACAGGATGGATAATGAGAACCTTCAAAACTAGGGAGGCCAAGCCCATGATGACACTCTTCAGGTCACTTGTTCTATCTAGGCTGGAATATTGCTGCACTCTAACAGCACCTTTCAAGGCAGGTGAAATTGCCGACCTAGAAAATGTACAGAGAACTTTCACGGCGCGCATAACGGAGATAAAACACCTCAATTACTGGGAGCGCTTGAGGTTTCTAAACCTGTATTCCCTGGAACGCAGGAGGGAGAGATACATGATTATATACACCTGGAAAATCCTAGAGGGACTAGTACCGAACTTGCACACGAAAATCACTCACTACGAAAGCAAAAGACTTGGCAGACGATGCACCATCCCCCCAATGAAAAGCAGGGGTGTCACTAGCACGTTAAGAGACCATACAATAAGTGTCAGGGGCCCGAGACTGTTCAACTGCCTCCCAGCACACATAAGGGGGATTACCAACAGACCCCTGGCAGTCTTCAAGCTGGCACTGGACAAGCACCTAAAGTCAGTTCCTGATCAGCCGGGCTGTGGTTCGTACGTTGGTTTGCGTGCAGCCAGCAGCAACAGCCTGGTTGATCAGGCGCTGATCCACCAGGAGGCCTGGTCACAGACCGGGCCACGGGGGCGTTGACCCCCGAAACTCTCTCCAGGTAAACTCCAGGTAAACTTCCTGTACTTGGTGATCTTTTACGTAACATTGGAGATAAAGTCTTTTCGACCCTGGATTTGTTACAAGGGTTTTGGCAAGTCCCTCTTCACGAGGACAGCCAAGAGCTAACTGCATTCTCCACTCCTACAGGTCATTATCACTTCCTCCATATGGCCTTTGGATTACGATCCTCCCCTATCACGTTCTCAAGGCTCATGACTAATATCTTTAGAGGTCTCATAGGCAATGCACTTATGGTGTACTTAGACGACGTAATCGTCATGTCTAAAGGCATGGACACACACTTGAAAAGACTTGATGTAGTACTTGGTAAGCTTGAAGAAGCCGATTTAAAGATCAAAATGTCTAAATGTCAATTTTTCAGATCAGAAATCAAGTTTCTTGGTCACGTAGTCACTCTTAGAGGGGTTACGACTGACCAAAGTAACTGCAGTACTAAATTTTCCAACTCCCAAAACTGCTGATGTCATAAGATCCTTTGTGGGCTTAGCAGGTTTTTATAGATCTTTCATTGCCCATTGCCAATTTTTCTTCCATAGCTGCTCCTCTAACTGAGTTGCTTAAGAAAGATGCTCCTTTTGTTTGGACCTTCCATCAAGAAAGAGCATTCCAAACTCTAAAAGAAAAGCTCTAAGGATATTGGTCATGAGCCTTGAGAACGTGATAGGGGAGGATTGTAATCCAAAGGCCATATGGAGGAAGTGATAATGACCTGTAGGAGTGGAGAATGCAGTTAGATCTTGGCTGTCCTCGTGAAGAGGGACTTGCCAAAACCCTTGTAAGAAGTCCAGGGTCGAAAAGACTTTGTTATCTCCAATGTTACATAAAAGATCACCCAGTATTACTGCTGGCCAGACATAGTCCAATGTATGAACCACAGCCTGGCTGATCTGGCACCGACTTTAAGAATCTGTCCAGCTCCCTCTTGAAGGCAGCCAGGGGCCTATTGGTAATTCCCCTTCTACTTGGTGGGAGGCTGTTGATCAGTCTTAGTGTTTTCTCTTAGTGTACCAGTGGCACCCCTACTTTTCATTGGGGGTATTTTGCATCGCCTGCCCAGGCTTTTACTTTCCTAGGGAGTGATTTCTGTCTGCATATTCGGAGCCATTCCTTCTAGGATTTTCCAAGTGTATATTATGATATATCTCTCTCAGCTGCGCTTCCAAGCATTCCCAGTAGTTGAGGTGTTTGATGGAACTTACATGTGCGGTAAAGGTTCTCTGTACACTCTCTAGATCTGCAATTTCACCTGCTTTGAAGGGAGATGTTAACCCTTTACCGCAGTATTCCAGCCTAGAGAGAACAAGTGATTTGAAAAGGATCGTCACTGACTTGGCGTCTCTTGTTTTAAACGTTTTCATTATCCATACTATCATTTTCTTTGCAGTTGTGATTGTGGCACTGTTGTGATCCTTGAAAGTGAGATCTTCAGACATTACCATTCCCAGGTCCCTCACATTATTTTTCCTCTATGCTGTATGATCAGAGTTTGTAGTATACTATGTCCTAGTTATTGTCTTCTCCAGTTTTCCATAACGGAGTAGTTGGAATTTATCCTCATTGAACATCAGATTGTTTTCCGTTGCCCATTGGAAAACTTGGTTTATATCTTCTTGGAGGTTAACCATGCCCTCAACAGATGAGAGTCTCATGCAGATCCTAGTATCGACTGCAAAGGATGACACAGTGCTGTGGATTATATCCCTATATCTGATATGAGGATGAGGAACAGGATGAGGGCAAGTACTGTGCCTTGTGGAACAGAGCTTTTCACTATGGCAGCTTCCGGTTTAACTCTTAAATCGGTGCAAGCAAACACATGGGCCAGTAGGTCTGCTGCAGTGTTCTAATGTTATGTAAACATGCCCTACGCTTCACTCGTGCCGGGAAGCGATATCCGGTCCTTCAGTGTGAACTGTGGATAATGCCATGTGAGCCACAAACAAGACTTAATGCAGCTAATGATGAGATGTAAAGACATCGAAGAGACAAGATACACAAATTGAGGGTAGGTGTTAGTTTGAAGAGAATTTGAAGTTAGTAACTGGGGAATCAGATGAATATGTCTTACACGTCTTGAAGAAATGTTGAAAGCAGACCCTGAGAAAAAGAAAAAAGAAAGACTTAAAGAGTATCAGTGGACAGATTGGCAAACTGTAACTGGACACACACAGTGAGCCAGACACCAAGGACGCACCCCCCAACCCCAGCTAACAATGATACCAACTACCAGGCCCAGTCTAACCCTAGATGCCCCACCCAGACTTACTCATTCTTCACCGTACCGTTATCCACTCCCACTAAGCTCTTACTCCACATAACCATAGCCTTCCCTACCCCTATCAAACCCTCTTCACAAGTTAGTCTAACTTGAAATAATAGGCATCACACAGGCAAAACATACAGAAATAATAAATAATGCATCATTTATTATAAGAGTATAAGAGAGGAGTGGAACTGAGGATCAATTGTATATCTAAGATACTTGATAACCTAAATAGATGTGAGATCAAGAACTACATTTCAAGAAAACTACCAATTAGAGGATGGTAATACATAACCAACTACCCAGCAGACGAAGACCTGACCAGGAGTGTTAGGATGATAACATAATAAAAATCTTGGAGAAAGCAGCAGCGTAACTAACAAAGTAGTAGTGGCCACTACTACTACTACTACTTCTACCACTACCTCTTCCTGCCTATATATACATGTCCTGCTATACTTCTCGTTAGTGTGACTTTGTAAATGGTCCAAGTCGGACCGAAACGTCGTCGTAAGCTCCTCTCTTCTATGTGCGGGTTATTTGTATATAGCAGAGTAACTATGTGGCCTAATGCCAAGCTACTGATCTTGGGTTATAAACATCAATATAAATTAAAAAAGAAAAAAGCCATCACTTCAAGCACACTAAATTTCCCCTAAAATAAGAATCCAGTGATTCTAAAATCCATGTGTAATCTATAAGACAGAACCCTAGGGCATACTATAAAAAATTGTATACGATAGACTACGAAAGTTTATTTAGGTACAGGTACACATAATTACAATTACACAAATTATCATACATAGTAACATATGTGCAAATTACCTAAGCTAATCTAAATTTACCCGTCTAGACTGTAATTAACATCTGTATATTTTCTCTTTTCCAGGAACTATGGAATGTAGTGGATGAATTATTAATGAATACAAGTGAGGAGAATGCTTCCGAAAATCTGGTGGGCGGTGGACCAGAGGGAGGAGCTACCTCTCCCGTCCAAAGTTCTCTTCCCTGCCCGTCACAACCACTACAAGAGTCTTTTAATGGTGAGTCAGTCGGTGGGGCTCCCTCTTCGGCCTACAGCCCCCATACCCGCTCATCACCACTGCTGCCGCAGGAGTCTAAAGAGCCATCAAGCTCACCCAGCACCCTCCGCCCTGAGTATCTGACTGCAGAGTCTCGATCTTCAGGGTGTTCCACCCCCAGGAGCCCTTGTGATGTTCCCCGCACCTACGTCTGTGTACCCGAAGACCTACCTCTGGCCACACCTCGTAACCACATTGGCTCTACCATTCCTGACGATTCACTAGTGATACCTTCACACCAAGGCCGCACTTCTGATCTGCTCAAAGCAACATCTCCGGGCTACAATTACAATTGCTCAACGACGCCAGATGACTTACTAGTGGCCCCACGTCCATTCTACACACGAAATTCTCCTATACCCACGAATCAGAACAACACTCAGGGATTTGCCCAGGCCGCCACACCTCCCACTGGCCAGACATATTCTCCTCAGTAGTGGGGCCAATCGCTACATACTTTCCCATCCCATCCCGGTGGTTAAATACCGACAATATGAGTAGTACAAAATTAGAGGAAAACAATTCTTTATAAGACAAAGATTTCCACCTCCGTGGCTTGTCTTGCATTATATATATATATATAATATATATATATATATATATATATATATATATATATATATATATAATATATATATACATTGTAAAAATCTCTCGTCGGTCGATGCATGCAGGGGATGAGATAAAATAGCTAATGTCACCTGCCTGAAGGGTGGTTGCCTTGGATCAAAACGTTTAGTGTTATATGGGCACCGAGGTATTGGTCCAGTATGGCTGGGTGGTTAGAGTACTGCGTACCTTGTCCCAAGGTTCGTAGGTTCGAGTCTCCTTCGACCAGAGATTAGTGTATGAATATTTCGCTTGTTCTGCGAATTCTAAACATATATGTATATATATATATATATATATATAATATATATATATAATATATATATATATATATATATATATATATATATCACTGTGAAATTGTTTAATATTATTACAACTTGTTTGTGCAGTATGACTATAATTGCTTTATAATGTATACCGGTGACACTAATTCTTATGTTATAATGATTGTTTTACGTAGTGTTAGTACTGTTGTTTTATAGTCTGTATATGATGCAGGGAGGACACGCTATTACTGCCCACTATGTGTTCAGTGAGGCTTGATAATAAGTACATTTGTGGAGTTTCTACAAAGGGCAGCATAGCAGTTTATGCAAAAATTGGTATTAAAGATTACTTGAGAATGCGTGAGAAAACTGTATAACCCAGTACTGCTTTAAAATACCCAGTGGCATTAATTTTATCCTGTAGAAAAAAAAATCCTGTTACTGAGTTTAATTATATTTATTTTTATGGGAGCGTATGTTAAGCACATGACTGATGCAACCTAGTTGTACTAACCTACCAAGATGGTGCTTAATGCAGGGATAAGCTTCTGTAAATTCCAGTACAAGTTGTCTGCCTTTGCTCCCCCCTCCTCCCCAAGTTTCTGGCATGATGTCTCAATATTCAATAAAGAAACGCTTGCGTTTTTGGTATGGTAAACCAGTACTCAGTACATAACTTACAATGAGACCTTATTCTCCGTATGTTACAAGTCCCGATGCACCACTTTGGCCATTATGGTGGTACAGAAGACAAAGTTTCTTTTCTGAGCATCTGAGTCTTAGAAGATGTGAATGTTATTTCAATATTTTCTAGTGTTATGGCTACCTTTTTTTGATGTATCAGTGTTGGGTGGATGTTTTATTCTTAGCATTTTTCTTCAAGGCGACCAGTGTTGGGTGGATGTTGTAAACCCTAATGTTATATTAGGTTAGTGAACGTTATAAGTAGCTACATTTTGTATAAAACATTGAAGGGATAAAACTTGCTCAGCACAAAATGTTACATGAATGTTTATATTCCAGTTATGATGCTTCACTGTCCCACACTGCCAAGATTTTCACCGTCAGCTGTTTTACCATTCAGTACCCTGAGGAGAAGGGAAAGGGGGGGGGGTGCAGTGATGCTGAAAGGCTCTTGATCCATGGAATTAGAACTGCTTTCCCCAATGTTGGGTCAAACCAGATTATATGCATATACTTCCTTCAACAAACCGGCCGTATCCCACCGAGGTGGGGTGACCCAAAAGGAAAAATGAAAGTTTCTCTTTTTTAATTTAGTTATATATACAGGAGAAATGGTTACTAGCCCCTTGCTCCCGGCATTTTAGTAGACTCTTACAACACACATGGCTTACGGAGGAAGAATTCTGTTCCTCTTCCCCATGATATATATATATATATATATATATATATATATATATATATATATATATATATATATATATATATATATATATATAATATATATATATGTATATATATATATATATATATTATATATATATATATTATATATATATATATATAATATATATATAATATAATGTTTAGTATTAATATACCTTGTACTATGACTATGACTAACTTATAGTGTTTATCATTGACTATTCTCATATTATGGTGATTTACGTAGTATTACTTCATCAGCAGATCACTGATGTGGTGGATCTCTCATTTTATTGCCACGTATAAAAATAAATTTACTGTTGCTATATGCTCTTAGGTTTATAATGATTCTGAATTATTTACTAATTTATATATGAATATATATTACACAAAAATCGCGAACAAGCGATACAAGATGCTAAACAACTATGGGGAGAGTTGAATGATAGCTCTAGGCCTTTCATTTTGCATTCAGCACATCGGCAGTAGCTTGCAGTGTTGCAGAAAAGAGGAGGTCCAAGGAAATACGATAAGAGGCAGGGTCTTTGATCGAATCATTAGAGCAAGATGCTTCCTGTGACCGTATGTGCTTGGACCTCCTCCTCTTCTGCAAACACTGCAAGCTCCTGATGATGTATGATTGCAACATGAAAGGCCTAAAGCTATCACTCAATTCCCCCTGTAGTTTTTTTTTCATGAATATATGTATATGTGTGTGTACAAAATATGTATGTGTATATATTTATATATATACGTGTGTCTAGATGTCGTATTACATTTACTTCTTCCTTTCTCCACCCACATTTTTCTTTCCTCTGCCTCCTATGTATAATTTATTTTACCGTCGCTCTGTGATGTTGGAGATATCTTCATAAAAATTACATTTATACTGTGTATGTGACATGCCATCCCGAGTAACTCCAGTTCTGCTGCTATAGTTAATTAACCCTTGCTGGAGTGTTTGATGATATCCTCATTGTCCCACTGAAGTCTCCCAGTCCAGACTGACACATTTCAACACCTTCTATGAGCCTCATCCTGCGTGATGGAATATGACAGGGAAACACACCTAGCTTTTGGTCCCACTGTGAAACTATAATGTAGAATAGGATACCAGCACACTGCTGATGTATCCAAAAAACATGGTGCAGCACACACACACACACACACACACACACACACACACACACACACACACACACACACACACACACACACACACACACACACACACACACTTCACTGTGATATGTACAAAATTAGGTTATAAAGTATTTTGACATCTTAATAAAATAAAACAAAAGCAAACTTGTGTTAGCATCCTATGACAGTTGAAGAACCGGTGAACAATGGTTAACTGGTGAACAGTGATTAACTGGTGGACAATGGTTAACTGGTGAACAATGACTGGTTAACTGGTGAACAATGACTGGTTAACTGGTGAGCAATGACTGGTTAACTGGTGAACAATGACTGGTTAACTGGTGAACAATGACTGGCTAACTGGTGAACAATGACTGGTTAACAGTAACAAGTGAACAATGACAACTGAGCAGCTGCTGAACAATGACAGGTTCAAGTACCTGAGGACAAGAGGTAATCAGATTCAAGTACCTGAGGATGAGGTAATCAGGTTCAATATCTGAGGATGAGAGAAGCAGGTTCTAGTACCTGGGGATGAGAGGCAATCAAGAAACAGAGATACCCTGCACCTCCTAGGATCAAACCAGGTAGCCTCCCATCCCTTAGCTGCTGTATGACTCCTACGGGTTATATATTATATATATATTATATAATATATATATATATATATATATATATATTATATATATAAACACTGATCTCTGGCTGAAGGAGACTCGAACCTACGAACCTTGGGACAAGGTACGCAGTGCTTTACCAGTCTACCCACACTGGACAATACCTTGGCGTGTAGCTAGCGCTACACGTTTGATCCAAGGCAGCCAGCTTTCAGGGAGAAGGCTTACAGCTTTTCATCTCATCCCCTGCATGCATCAGCCTTCCTAGAGATATTAACCATGCAAGGAATATCTCTAGGAAGGCTGATGCATGCAGGGGATGAGATGAAAAGCTGTAAGCCTTCTCCCTGAAAGCTGGCTGCCTTGGATCAAACGTGTAGCGCTAGCTACACGCCAAGATATTGTCCAGTGTGGGTAGATTGGTAAAGCACTGCGTACCTTGTCCCAAGGTTCGAGTCTCCTTCAGCCAGAGATCAGTGTTTGTGTATATTTCGCCTGCTCTTGCGAATTCCTTGTATATAATATATTATATATATATATATATATATATATATATATATATATATATATTATATATATATATATATATATATATATAATATATATATATCGCAAACAGGCGATCTTAACTATGCAAGACAAGCCACCCCCCGTGGCTTGTCTTGCATATTATATAGTAAATGCTTAACAATTCGCAAACAGGCGAATGATTTACATTGTCTCTACGTCCACAGCAGGACTCGAACCTGATAATGCTGTATCAGAGTCCACAGTACACTACCACGAAACCAGATCCCAGATAAGTATGGGCGCCTAGCCAAAGCTAGACGATGTTACCCCATACCCCGGGGCACCAGGCTCGTTTTCAAATTTATTTAATCAAATCCTGCCACATGCTGTAACACAAACATCCTGTCCCTATCCAGCACGTCAATCCCTCTCAGTATTTTGTTATCATTCCCCCCATCCCTCCTTTCCTCCCGTGTCGTCAGGTCATTTTAACTTTGACCTCTCCTTGTCATATACCTTAGCTCCGGGACTAGTCTTGTTGCAAATCTTTGCAATTTCTCTAATTTCTTGACGTGTTTGACCAGGTGTGGGTTGAAATTCTGGGTTCCATACTGGTACTGTATACTCCAATATGCTCGCGCGCGCGCAAATACATGTGTGTACTCACCTATTTGTGGTTGCAGAGGTCGATTCACAGCTCCTGGCCCCGCAAGGTTCACTCCCTGCTCCATGAGCTTTATCATACCTCTTCATGAAGCTATTTATGGATCCTGCCTCCACTACATCACTCTCCAGATTTTTCCATTTCCTAACAACTCTGGTGCTGAAGAAATGCTTCCTAACATCCTTGTGACTCATCTTTTTCAACTTCAGTTGAGGCCCTTGTTCCTGTTTCCCATCTCTGAAACATTTTGTCCCTATCCACCATATCAATTCTTCTAAGTACGTTATAGGTCGTTATCATGTTTCCCTTATCTGTCATGTGTGGGGGTTCGATAACGTGGATTGGGTAATAATACTCACGTTGGAT